AAAAAAAATGTCGACAAATGTCTTCTTCTGTCCAAAACCCAAAGATATTCAGTTTACTGTCATACAGGAAGAAAGAAAGCAGAATAATCATATTTAAACAGCTGGAATGAGAAGATTTAGACTTTTTACCTTTAAAATTTTTTTGAAAAGATTAATCAGTTATCAAATACCTGATGACTAATTTAACAATTGACAAGTAATTGATAATCACTGCAGGTATAGCAGCTACACTAAGTCTGTCAACATGATACCAATTCACATGTGACAAAGTAAAACTACACAGTGGTGTGTATCAGTGGAAGTCACATCAGTGACAGCTGATGCGACTTCCTCAACGTACACTGTAATTCTTTATCAACACGAAATATTTGGGAGGTTTAATGTATGCAGAATTTTCAAAAGTAGCCGTATGATTAGAAAAGTGTTGTAAACTATGGCGAGAATAAAGATGCAAATGACAAATTTGCAATCACATTTTAAACAGACAGAAATTTGAGTGGAGTTTGGCGAGGTGCTCTCCGCGTACAGACAGGAGGCAGTATTGAAGCTAGCAATGTAGCTATTGATAGTCCACTGATAAAAGCAACAAGTGAGCATCAGGTAACCGAGTTCCTTTACTTTGACTTTACAAGTCTGTTAAAGAAAATATCTTACAAGATTTTAGCTGTTTTTGAACAAAAGCTAACAGGCTAACTTAGCCACAATAGCTGACGAATGTTTCAAACGCAGTAGCAGTCTGCCTAGCAAACTGGTAAGGTTGATTTAGCAATATGTCTGCAGACGAATACATATTTTTTTGGAAAGATTGCTATTCTTTGGGAGAATTTATTGTCAAAGTGACGAGAAAGGTTGAAGTTACGCTTAGCTTAGCTACAGCATTTCACCGCAGTGTAACAAATCAACAAATTAGCCTCATGATACACGACTCGCACGCGACCACGACAAGCTAACGGACCGTTTAGCTCCGGACACGTTGAGCTTCATTTAAACAGCATTAAAGTCACAGCACGGTCAGGTAGTTATTTACCGTCAGTGTGGAGCTGTTGTAATCAGCCGATGAGCTTTGTGGCGTCTGAAGATCTGTTGACAGAAACAAACCTGCTACACCTCTTCCACTCTACGGTTTTCAAATTAAACGTACGCAGTTCTATCTACGTTGTACTGAACCTGTCAAAATAAAAGCGCTCTCATGAGATCTACGATGTGTTCGCCCCCTGGTGGCTATTTGGTGTATTTATAATTGAAGCACCTAATGGGCATTTTCGCCTCTCAGTGTTATTCTGTAAATAATTGTCATAATTTTATTTTTTTAATAAGTGAATAATAATTTGGTTATCTTAGTTTATCTCCAAGTTATTAAAAGAACTCCCTGCAAATCATGCTGATGAGTGAATACAGTATGTTTTATTTGTATTTGTTTTGCTTTGTTCACGTAAGTTAAATAAAACTACGTTGTTAAATAATAATAATAAAACAGGTTAAGATCTACACTATTTTAAATTATAGACCTCCTACTGGTTAAACTGGTATCAGTAAATGCTTAATATAACTTCAAAGAGAAAACATTTAAACTACACAGACGGAACCGCCTGAGGGACAATTTTGTGTGCGGAAGTAGGCGAATGGCTCTGACAGTTCCTGGTTCTACACTGTAAACTATGCAGAGTTAAACATATGCAGTCGAGCTTTAAAAAAAAAAGTTTATTAATAAGTCGTCCCATGTAAACTAAAGAGAAGTTTTTTGCATCCGAATGCCGAGCAGCGCGACAGACAGAGACGTTTTCAGAGATAGTCTCGGAGGCTCGTCGGGGGATATGCATCGTACAGATCTAATGGGAGGAATAACCGGAGAGGGACCCGCTGGGAGTCCGGTTGCGCCCCGGAATGGCCCCAAACCCCGGGCCGCCGTCGTGCTGTCGGTGCTGGCCTCAGCGGTGACTGTGGCCGCTGTCGGTTGTTTCTGCGCGCTCGTGTACCCCATAGTAAAAGGTAAGCGCGCGTGCACGTGGTCACTTAATAGGGAGGTGTGTGTCACACGCGCGCACAGTGTCGCTGAAACATCAGCTCATGACTGGTTTGAATGGTTCGTAAACTTTATGAACAACCAGGGAAGGGGACGCGCATTGCTCCGTCTGGGGTGTCGCAAGGTCGTCATAATGTGTTTTTACCAAATGGCTGGTGGCTACATAGTTTTTTGGTCACTCTCTCTTACCGTTTCAGGCAAAGCAGAGGCGTTGTTGTGGTGTTGACACATTGGAGGCTCCGTCCAGCAAACAGATGTTTACGTTTTAACATTAAAGCTGCACAACTTTTAAAATTATTCCAGAGTCAAATGAATATAAAGTTTAAAATGCTGTTCTCAAAGCCGAGTAAGATCATCCAGCTTTCTTTATATACTTACCCAATATTCCACATTAATATTACAGTGAGATTTATATAAAGTGTATGATTTTGTGCTTTTGACATGCTTGTTGCCATTAATTTTATTTTCCACCTGTGACATTGCCTTTTTTCTTGACTTGCAACAATAATTTTTTCTTTTTCTTGCAGTGCTTTATTTTTAAATAACTTATTCTTCTTTGAATGCTCTACTTGTGGGTGATACACTGTAAAACACCTGGAAAATTCCTCATATGTGAAAACCTACTTGGCATTAAAACAGATTTGAATTCTGAGTCTAACTTTGACTAACCCTTTAAATAGTCCAGTAGAAGAAATGCAGATGCCTCTGATGAGAAAAAGCTCACCCATGAAGTCCCATACCCCAAATAAATAGCTGATAATAATAATCTGAGGTCTGTGTAGTTAAGAAAAAATGCAGAGAATTCTGTCATAGTAATGATCTAACTACAGCTACTCACAAAAAACAATAAGATTCATTGTAGTTTTTTATGCATTCTCATTTTTGTAAAAAAAAAAAACAAAAAACAAACATTTAAAACGTTTTAAAAAGTCTTCATTTTTGTACACCATTCAGGGGCTATAGCATTAAACGCTTTGGGCCTTTTTTTGTAGCCATGGTTGCTAAAGGTGCGCTTTTTTAGTTGCTGATGGAAACTTAGAAGAAAATTTACTATTAAATGATGTAAGATAAGTACACATAGGATGTCAAAAATGTCATTGTTCTGCTCAGGACACCCACCTAGTTGAGACATCAGAATCCACCCCTGGTTAGAGCTCAGAATAAAATCCCTGCTGGCTTTATTTCCACTCACGAAAGAAAATCTTACCAGTTTTCAAATATTTTATTTGAGTATGTTGTTGAAAATATACAAATCAGCTCATGGTCAGCTCATGACTGCATTGTCTGTTCAAACTTGGTCACCTACAGTTCTACAATGTGAAATGTAATTTGAGAAGATCACGTTTGTTATTAAGCAAAATGCGAGTCACTGGAAATTTTTTACAAACAAGAAACATCATCAGATTCCAGGGAGTCTGATCTGAACTGTACCATGGCAGAGAAAGTTCATTTTAACCTTGAAAAGACTCAAAGTCCACTCACTTCCTGCTGGCTTATGAAAATGGAGAGATGAGGCTGACAGAACCAGAAATGAGTCGAAACTGGACCCGATTATTTTTAACTATATTCCAACATTTGGTGAAATTATGAAAGAAGACAGCAACAGTAATTCAATTGGTGCCATTCAGTACACTATTGTAAAATCCATAATTTTCACAAACCAGTTGAAGTATTTGATTTGCTGTGTGTACAGTCGTGATGCTGCTGTTGTTTGTAAGTTGTGATATTGATTGATGACTGTTTCAGAGCTGCGAGCAGAGAGAGTGAGAGGAGAGGATGGGACTGAACAGAGGATGCTGGGTGAGTATTGATCCACTGCTCCATCAGGATATTTTTAATCTTCTTCATGCACAGTTTTGACTTCACATTGAGCTACGTGTACATTAGACACCAATACGGGCTTGTTTTAGCTCTAAAATGCCGGAAAATACTTCTCATTTCACTAAAATGAAAAAGTAGAGCACAACATTTTTAACGACTTTGTTGACAAAACGACAAATGATAATCAAATTAGTTTCTGATTGCTGTAATGCCTTCCAACTAACACACATACAAAAGTAATCAGACACTTTGTTGTGGCTCCAAATCGTGGTCGATTGCATCCAGCTTTAATAAAGAGATGTGCCTGGAACAAAAGTGTGTGAAAAGGAGTGTGTTTGTGCAGGTTTCTGGAGTATCCTGGTGCTGTCAGTATTAGTGGGATGTATCTGCTGTGTCCTCTCATGGACTTTCACCTACCTCAACTCGTACCAGCCTGGCATGGTGTTCCCAACGCTGCTGACACTGGCACACTTCAGGTAACACACGAGTACTTGTCCACCTTTTACATTTGATGATTAAAAACAGGAACCAATGTCTGTCTCTCTCTCTGTGGGTTTTCTTCCAGAGATGGATCCGGCCACGATTTTCACATGAGTTATGGGGTTGCTGTTCTTAACGGCATCATGGCCATGCTCACCGTCATCTGGAGCCTCTCCTGACACACGGGCACAACCTCACCAGAAACCTCCAGGCGGACAATTCTCCAGTACTGGGCAGCGACTGTACTCCAACAGTGTAAAGACATCTAAGGCGTTCTCTCGTGTTACATTAAACAAAAAGTTTGGAATGGAAGTTTAGTTATTAGGTACTCTTGATCCATGTATTACCAACAGTGTAGACAGGGCTGTGGCATTGTATAATTCAAATGCCATACAGTATTTACAGTATACGTAGGAAGTAAGTACACCTCTTGAGTATCTCCTCTTCAAAGCGTTGAAAATAAAGCCCCTAAAGTAGAAACTTCAAGGAAACTGAACACATCTGTAAGCGCTGACCCACACAAACAAAGTTTCAGTAGTAATGAGGAGGTATGGAATGAGCCACTTAACAGTACCACTAATCAGAGCTGCTGCAGTATAGTTGTAATCCTGCAGTGACACCACAGACAATGCTCTGCTTTCACCATCTAGCTCAGACGAGGAGGTGCTCTCAGACTTGGCACGGGGATTATCAAAGGAAATCAGTTTTCCATTTGATTTGAGTTTCTGTGACATCAAGTGCGAAGAATGCTGCATATCTTCTACCTGTATGGACGGCATTCAAGTGAAACAACCTTGCTTCCTCTTTGGCACAAAACGGCAAAATTTGAGATCATGAAAAGAAGCACGATGAATATCGGAACACATTTTTTTGGTGGAGTAAGACAAAAAATACTGGCTGACAAGATGATTACCGGTCTGCAGAAGAGGAATATTCCAGCACGATAAGGATTTAATGCACCCTATATATGTTTTTTTGCTGTGGACAGCCCAATATGCCAACAACACAGAACTGAAGACTTGCGGCTCAAGAACATGTGAATTTTCACCTCAAGGTGTGAAAGTGCCTGTCAGAAGCAGGCAGCACTGAATATAGAGCTGGCTATGGCAGACTGTCGGTGATTCAAAGTGCTTGTAGTCACAGAATTACATGCAGCAGCTTTGGGGAAAACAAACTACAAAAGAATTAAAGGTTTGAATTAGTTTCACAGTTCTGAAAGTGTTGTCTTCATAATTTTCTGTGTATGATGTAACTGCTATATACATGTGTAAATGGAATTAAAGTAGTTACAGCTTGTATCAGTATGCACCAGCGTTTCTCATGTTTCATGTTCAGGACAGTTCGGGGTTTTAGACTGGTTATAAACTGGTTGTTGGAAGACACATCCAGTAAAATATCTTTCTAGAGTTGATGTGCAGAGTAAAGTGAACAACAAAATTTGCAGAGGTTGTAAAATATCTATGCTATGAAGAGCCACAGTTGGGCTTTTGCAGTATTGGTAACACCTGTGGGTACTTAAAAAAGTGGATTTAATGTTTTTTTAATTTTTGTCATTAAAAAAAAGTCAAGCAAATTCAAGTTACGTTTTTTTCTTTTTTACGATTTAAGTTATAATTACTGCTGCCTTGGTGATAACGAGGTCAAGAAATATCTTGAAAAGAAAAACAATGTGGGGAAAAATATTGTGCCTTCTGTGATCAACTTCATCATACAAACCTGCACATACCAAAAAACACACAACTAGTGACCACCTTAGAATGATAGAACATGAGAGTAAGCTCCTGTTGTTATGAAATCAGGATGGTTTTTATTTTCAAGTCTCTCGGTTGAGTCCACAGGCCTAAAATAAATGGTCAGTTTCAGAGGTAGGATGTATCTCAGCTGGACGTCTCCTGGCCTTTATCCTGGACCCTCTGTCCTCTCTGACTCACTTTTATCTCCCACGTGGAGGTGGCTCCTCTGTCCTGGAAACACATGAAACATGCATCAGTCCAGCTTCCCTGTGGGAGTAAACGCTGCATCCACATTTTCATTTCAACATGAACCAGCATACCTTTATCAGCACGCCTAAGGGTGCCAGGTCATTTCTGAGGGTGTCGCAGGCTTTGAGGAGGGGGATTCTGTCTGGGTAAAGTCCAGGTTTCTTGGGGGATCCAGTGGTTGAATCATCCTGATGAGTGAGTGCGAACGCTCGAACTTCACTTCTGAAATGTGTCAGCTGTTCCACGACGGCCTGCAGGCTCCCACCGCTGCTCAGGACATCGGCCTCCTGCACAGGGGAAATATGTGGAAGAAATCAGAACATCGAATGTATCCCACCAATAAGTATTGAAGTGCCCAACATAGAAACCCCACTTTATACCTCTGTCCCGCTTTCTTTTTAAGTTGTATGTAAAAAGAACACACACTTAGACACTTTTTAGCCCTCCCACTCTAAAATGAACCCAGCGCTCTTGGCTGTGTATCAAAGCCAGACTTATTTTACTCCCCTGTAGCTACAGAGCTCCACTGTTGTCCAAACACTATTAAAAAAACATCAGCGAGGCACTGTTCCTTTACCATGAACGCGCAGTACAGTTTGTTTTCACTCAGAGTCACATACACCGTCCTGCTGCCTCCTCAAATGACACAAATCTGAAAATCGACACACATAATCCATCAGTCCTGACCTTACTGTGCAGCAGATCGATCCCAAACACATCCAGGATCTCTCTGATGTAGGTGGTGATGGCTCCAAACACAGCAGGGCTCCGGGCTCCTCCATCAGACTGAACAGAAACATAACACACACCGGTGAAATCAACATGTCAGCCAGGGTTGGGTTTCAGATTGTAACCGTTTACATCTGGGGTTTCACTGAATTGTTCACAAACTTGTTTTAGTCTGCAATCTCAGTCTTAGTTTTAATTAACCACACTGGACAACCTTGGCATTTTAGCTACAGTTCTGGTGACAAACACTGATTTACATATCAGAATTAGTGCTACTGTAACCTTTAAGTAATGTCGGTCAGCTGTGTCAGACACACTGAGTTACCGTAGAAACAGGGTGCAGTTGGCAGTTTCCGTGATAAACCAGATTCATCAGAGCGCTGACGGCTCTCGGTGTGTCAAAGTCATCTGCCAGAGCTTTCAGCACAGTGGATTTAGTCTCAGCCAACCTGAAAAAACACAGAGAGGGAATACATCTAAGTGATGTAAAACTCCTAACAGACACACAACCTGATGCACTTTGGATCTGCAGGTGCTGTTTAAAATCACTGATGGATGTGGAGAGCCTAGAACCTGCAGCCAATCTGTTCTCCATAACCTTATTCATGGCACGATAACTTTGTTACATTAAACAGAACAGCTCTCTCTCCTTCTTTGTGGTTGTTTGGATTCCACAGAGATGCAGGACTTTATATTGCCGTGAAAAATGTAACAGGCCCAGAAACTGCTTGGATTTCAGAGGTTAATACCAACTTATAGGAAAGAATCAGACTGAAGAGGAAGCCGATACCTCTCCCAGAGAAAATCCTCCTGCACTGGTGAACACTGTAGCTGACCCTTCATGTAGGCCTGAGCGTCGTGGATGAAGGTGGAGATGGTTCCCAGAGAGCTCTGAGCCTCCGACATGCTGTTGTCACTGTAGTCTATAGCTGTGGAGACATCAGGGGACATCACAATGTTGAAATGATTTCCATGAATGCGCTATTTTCTGATGCACTGGATGCAACAACCTGCAGCTACATCCAAACCAAGACATTCACAACAACTCCTTTATTGTTCCCACCTGATCTGTATTTGGTCAAAAGACAGAACATCCGGAATTCATTGGCAGAGTAAGACTCCAGAAAATCCTGGTGGATGACAAAGAAACGATCATTTCCACAAACTTGAACAGACAGTGTAGAAGATCATTGCTATGTCTCAAAACTCAATAAGTGATAAATAATTCATGAGGACTTTACCTTGATCGTAATATAGTTCTTTAAAGATTTAGACATTTTCTCTGCACTGCCTTTTAGATGTAAGTGCCCTAAAAAACAATAAAAAATAGTCAGTCGTTGCAGAGCTGAGTTCAGAGTTCTCATAGACTAACAGAAAAAAAAATAACTCCAACTATATGCCTGATGGAACCGCATGTCACACATGATTAGTTTAAGGACTGTCGGAAAGTTTCAAATCCGATGATTTCCAAGTTTTTCTAAAATTTTCTCTGCTTCTAGCCATGATTGTGCTGTTTCCATCGAGATGGAGGACTTTATAGTGCAGTGAAAATGAGCCCACAAGACTAAAAACTGCCTTGAAAACTAAAGAACAGCGTTATAGTGAAGCCTGAAATGCGACAAAACTGGTCATGTATAGTGGAAATTCATAAACGACAAAAGTAGACACAATAGAATACAGGATTGACAATAGCTTTGTGTGTAGGAAGCAAAAACATTCATATAAACACAAAGCATCCTCTGCAAAAAGCCAAGTGTGGGAGCTTTAGGATTCACCTGAGTGGAGGAAGTAGTTTGCCCACTGTCCACACTGATGATAAGCTTCACTCTGAGCAATCTCATTCTCGTGGTGAGGGAAGGCCAAGTCAATACCTCCTGAGTGAATGTCCAGCTGACTCCCGAACACACAGCTGAGACACACAACATGAGCAAACAGTCGGCTATTTAATCAGTCATGATTTCATTTGTTGTCTTCGTGACAGCACAAACTTTTGAATGTGTCACAGCATGAAGAATGTTGCTGAAGACTAAAGAAACGCTGACTTTAGCTTGTACTAGGTGAATGAAGCAACTTTGTACTGAAGAACTGAACATGTTCCAAGTTTTCAGAAAGGTACAAGCATGGACTAAAGCACAGCGTCAGACTACATAAAGCAAGCAGGTTGTTGTGAGTCCAAACCTCGCGACGGTCGAGCATTCAATGTGCCAGCCTGGTCTTCCTCTGCCCCACGGAGACTCCCAGTACGGTTCCCGAGGTTTAGACTGCTTCCACAGAGCGAAATCCCTCGGGTCTCGTTTACTTGAGCTGCCTGGAGAAGCATACAGTTTGTTATCCATCAGTACAGTCCGTGTAATACAGAAAAAGCAGCCAAGAATTAGGAATCAATCAATCAATCAATCAATCTGATTGTTAGTAATCAAGGAGACTGATAATCAGTATTTAAACTGATGTACAGTTGCAGTGAATTGGTGTCAAAATAAAAAAACCTTCATCACAAAACTGTCCTGATATTTGCACTTATATTTTATATGTATTACAGACTAATCCTTTAATTTCAATAGGCTACAGAAAAAACATTTATCTGCACTTTTGTTAAGAAATTACCCATGTCAATGGGATCTGACAAACATTAATAACTCTTATATTGTAGTATATGTGACTAAAGCACAGCAGGAACACTGACCAGCTTCTCCCTGAGACTCCACAGCTCCCACAAACTTTCCATAACGGTCACCAATGGACTGGATGTCAAAATACACATCACCTGCAACGAGACAAGTTCACAAATGTCAACTCATGCACTTTGGTCTTAACAGAAAAAAACCAAGTGTGAGGTCCTAATAATTCACCTTCTTTTGTGGCATAAGCGTGTCCATTTTTGATGATCCCCTCAATAAACGCAACAATATGATGCACATTCTCAGTGACTCTTAAATACACTGCAGGAGGAATCACCTCAAAAACAACGACAGAACATGAAGACATGTTAATAAATAAACACAGAAGCTGAAGTTTGTTCCTCACAACAGATGTGTTGTGTTTTAATGCACATTACAAAGTTATAGGTTAACATGCTGTTCTAAGAGCACCAAGAGAAGTGAGTACAATATGAATGTTAAATTCAAAATCCTATCGCCTTACAGTACTTCTATTTTAAACAATAGGATATGTGCTCTTATTTGAAATTATAAACCAACAGGGTGTATTTACTACATTAAAAGTACAGGCCCCACAGTAGGAAGTCAAAGCTTCTTATGTCCACCTTTATTTCTGATGACACACTCAACCCGTGTCAGCATAGAGAATACCAAATTTCTGCAGGGATGCTGTATCATTCTTCAAAGACTATTTTTTCAGCTGAGGTCTACGCAATTAGCCTGATTAGAAACTTGATTTCAGTGATCGCAGATGTATTCACCAACATTGCATTAAGTTTCTACTTGGGTGCATGTTTTAGCAATATAATCTTTCTAAAGTATCCACTCTTGATTGTTCACAGGATTAAATAGTCTACTTCTAAACTTAGAAGTATTTAAATTAGTAGATGTGTTGCAATGTATAAGTGATACTACTGTTCACTGCATTACTGTGCTGTTCTAAATGCAGCTCACGTAACTTCATCTTAAAGATTTACATCAGCTTTAACAGTACAGTAGTCCGTAAATCAAATCCCACACACACCTTTAATGCCAGCATGTCCTTCTTGAAATCATCCTCATACATTCTGGCTACGACGGCTGGAGAAATATTCTCCTGTCACACAAGGGAAGGTTGTGAATGAGCATGATTTCAACAATAAAAACAGCACCCATAAGATGTCATGATCTGTTGTGGTGTTTACCTCCCAGCTTCTTTTGATAATCTTGTCATCTATGTCAGTGATGACCATGGCGTGGATGACAGTGACTCCAAAGAAGCTGGACAGGATCCTCTGCAGGATGTCAAACCTCACATAGGAGCTGTGACAGGACACAGGTTCAGATTTAGCTCAGTTACTTACTGTTTGTGCAAAAGGTGAGTGTGTTCACATTTACCATGCATGACCCAGGTGAGCGTGGTCGTACACGGTGGGTCCACAGCTGTACCTGAACACCACATGGACACAACAGAGCAGGTTAATAAGCTGCTATGAATGTAAACAGTGTATAATAAACACAGAGCTAGCCGTACCAGGTAGCGACCCCCTCTCTAGCCAGAATCAGAGGCTCTTTCTGTTTCGTCAGGCTGTTGAAAGTCTTTAAACCGGTGTCAAACCCGCTCGGTTTCACCCATTTCTTCCCCGAAACGCCGCAGCAGGTTCCATTTGCTCTGAACGTGTTCAAAACCCCGCCGAGGACCTTTGCTTCCAGCGACCTCACCGGGAGCCTCCACATAGTTCAACCCCGCTGCGTCTCAAGCTAGCTTAGCTTAGCTTAGCCTCGCTGCTCCACTGGCACACTGACAGCTAAAGTTTCGTTAGATAATCATTAATATGCATGTTGTTTAGCCTAATGCTGGGGTTTCACGCACTTTCATTTGTGTCACCTCCACACTTCCCACGACGCTGAAGTCGGATTCTGATTCATTGCTGCCCAAGTGCCCTCTAAGGAGAAAGTTAAGGGAAAATTAACCTACAGCACTAAGTGGCTGTTTTGTTTTGTTTTGTTTGTTTTTTACAATTTATGAAATTGCTAAATAAATAAATGAACTTAAAAAAATATATATATATATATATTTCTTTTTACATGTGTATAGACAAATACACATGCAAATCAAAACCTGGACTAGATTATGTCAGAGGCTGAAGTCTCTGGTCAATAAAAACTTAATTCTATTCATGAAAATATAAAAAATGGAACATCTGAGAGTTCATCAGAGATTTCACTGATTTTGTTATTTATTTTTCTCTTAACTCTATATTTAAAACCCCTCATATAATAGTTTTTGATCAGTGAAACTTTTATTGTAATTGTGAAAATGCCGCAAAGGCTGATATCTGTTGATTTGTTTGTGTTTTTACAAATAGAATGAATGTTTCGCAAATTTGAAAGTAGGTTTCAGAACCATTAAGTGTTATTAAAGATGTCCAACAAGAGAAGCTGTCGCTCAGTACTACAAGTCAAATTCCCCTCAACTTTTCCCTTAACCAACGAATCGGAAGCAAACTTCAGCTTCCCGCATGTTCTCGCGAGAGTCAAATACCGGAAGTGTTGATTCGTATCATGTGATTTGCTCTTGCTGGCTCTCTGAGCAGCTATGTCAGAATAATTTTGACAGGACGGTTTGAGAAGAAGCTCTCGCTTTATCCAGGAGGAATTATTGAAGATGCAGAACGTGATAAACACAGTGAAGGGCACCGCTCTGGGAGTGGCCGAGTTCCTCACTCCTGTGCTGAAGGTAAACTTCCATTACTCAGCTAGCTTGTTGATAGGTGGTAGCTAGGAGGAGATATCAGGAACTCATGAAAACATGTCAGTGCTGCCTAGTAGCTTATAGTAGCATGTGTCACGGTGCTCGTTTTTGTTCACCTAAACACGGTTTAACAGTGAAGACCTGAGGTTTATGAAGTATTGATCCTTCGTGAGTGTGTTAAGCTAAATGCGCTGCAGCTCTTCTGTTTACAAGCTGGAACTGAAAGTGTTTGTGTGTCTCTAAGATGCAGTTTTGTTATTGATCACAGGAATCGAAATTCAAAGAGACTGGAGTCATTACACCAGAAGAGGTAAGAATGCACATCTTACATTTTCACAGATCTGTTAGTTTATCGCATGTGTGTGTGTTTCATGCTTATTGCTCTCTTTTTGTGTTTCAGTTTGTTGCAGCTGGAGATCACCTGGTTCATCACTGCCCCACATGGAAATGGTGAGTGTCTACTTGGAGCTGGATCACACATCTATGAATTTCTCATGGGGCATGTGTGTGATGTGATTTCTTCAGTAAAAAGCAACTGGACTTCTCTTTTTGTTCTTGGAGACATTTCAACTCTGATCTAAACAGCATCTTAAGTTCCAACTGACTGAGAGGGAGTTCACAATATATATAGTCACCTCCAAATTCCATAGCTAATGGTTATGAACGTCTCAAGATGATGATTGTGAAACTGCCTGGTGAGCGATGACTCAAGGTGGTAATGGTGGTGAAAGCATTACCGTCTGCAAAGCATTATCCTTTGTCCTTTAGATAAAGTTTGAACAGCTCAGTCTTGTCCTGAGGATCTGGCTCTCTTGCTGTTTATTAGTCTCCCCTACGTATAAGTCTGTGCGCTTCTCACGTCATTGGATTGTACGTACAACATTGCTCCGCTTTTGTTTGGGTATTTTTTTCCTCAGGGGGAGCAAGTTTCTGTCTCAGAATGTTGCTAGGTCTAAAGCGCACCAGTATGTTGTGTTTGAAGAGTCCTTGACACCAGTTGTCTTATACTTACAAGACAGCTTGAGAGTGCTGTCACATGAGTCATAAGCGACTGCACTGAGAGTGCACTGAGTTGGAAAATATTTATTTTAATGTGCACCATTAACAATTTTCCACCAGCATTCCTCTCTTGCATCATTTGCAGTAAAGGGGCTTTTAACTTTAATCAATTTTTATATTCTTCAAAGTTCTCCATTATAACAACCTGTTCTTATTGACTGAAGTAGGCTGCACGCCATCAGTCAGGCACAGAGCCTGATGAAGAAAACCACTGTCATTGTACCCATTATCTCTGATTGGGGTTTTGTTTAGCCAGCTTAAACAAAGAAAGCCAGGCTGTGTTGAACCTGTTTTCAAGACCACCCCTCAAGCAGGGTTAGAGATACTTGTCATTTGTCATTTAAAAAAAAAAACTCACGCAAACTCTGTGGTTTGTAAATACAGTTTAAAACCATCTGAAAACCCCTAAAAGCACTTTGTGTTACTTTGTATTTGTATGAAAAGTATAAATAAAGTCTGATTAAATGATATTTTGGAACTTAGTCTAAGTAGTCAGTATGACCTTTGCCGGTAGTGATGTCAGTGGTTAGTGCTGGTGGTGTTGCATTTTAATGTTACTTTCAGCATTGAATAGGATTGTGTGTAAAATGATACACTCCTCAGTAATAAGTGACCTGTTGTGTGTTTCCAAAATGTGCTCATTTCTCTTTTCTTGTTGTTGAATTTCACAGTATAGTGCAATATCCAACTTGGAGAAACCAAAATTGCATCACACAGTTTGCTGTGCTGTCATCCTCTGGTGCATTACTAAAAAAAACATGTTATTTTCATTTTTGTGTCTTGTATGTTACACGCACATTTATAGAATAGTGTGTTTTTTAGCTTTGAGATTGATTGTTGAAAGATTCCTTAAGTTGCCACTCCGTCATTTTTTATGTGTTGCTTTGAAATACAGCTTTGCATTAATCAGTCAGCATGTGTTGCTTTCTAAAGAAAATCTAAAACAGTGGTTGGTAAAGACAAAAGTTGGGCATTTTGAGACAGTTCTTTTAGCACCACAGCAGCATAAAGGACACACACACTGCATGGCCTGATCTAAAAATAAAACGTTTCTATGCTTGTGATTCCATCTCTTCAGGGCCACTGGAGAAGAAGTGAAGGTGAAGCCATATTTGCCTCCGGATAAACAGTTTCTCCTGACACGCAATGGTAAGAGGTGGATTTAAAGTGGAGACAGCTGCTTCATTGTCCTTCACTGAGTCTGAACGTCAGGCACATTCACTTTGTCACATCAGCAAGTTGTAATCGTTACCCTGGTAATAACTTTTAGCCATGTTTAACTTCCTCCTACTGTATATTCACTGTCTTGCAGTTCCATGTTACAAGCGCTGTAAACAGATGGAGTATTCAGACGAGCTGGAAGCCATCATAGAGGAGGATGATGGAGACGGAGGCTGGGTGGACACTTACCACAACTCAGGTTGGACGCTGTCTCTCAGCATCAATACTTTGCATATATCCTGAACATGGCTGCATCTAGTGCTGCTTTTTCAGTGTCAGAAACCCATGTGGGCTGGATGGATTTTTAAGAAGGGTGGCAGCATATTTCTGTGATTGACAGTTCACTTCTGAAAATGCTCAACAAGGCTTTAATCATTTTGTGAGCTAAAAACAAGCTTAGCAGTCAGAAAGTTGTTGGGGAACGTATCTGGTAATACTAGTTTTCTCAAAGATACAACGTCCAACTTAATGTTACATGGGCGTGTCGTATTACACAGGAGCAAATGTTGTTTGGAGATTTTAAGAGCAATGTTTTAATCATTTCAGTTTGTTTGAATCAATGCCAGATGAAAATTAGATTAAAATAATGTTAAGAACAGTAAATGTTGTACATGTTGATTCCAGGGTTTTTTTGTTCTGCATTTTTGTAACTTGTTTATTACACATTATTATAAGACATTTTTGAGTTCTCTCCTCTTCTATCAATGCTTGTGCTGTTTCCATAGAGGTGCAGGACTTTATATTGCGGGGAAAAATAACCCACAGTGAGGAAAAATGTGACAGGAGCAAAAGAACGCCCAGAAACTGCCTCTGGTTCAGAGGACTGATATGTTTCAGGGCATCCAGAGTTTGTAAAGATGATCTGAATGTGTTTCTGCAGGTGTGTTAGGAGTCACAGATGCTGTAAGGGAAATTTCACTGGACAATAGTAAGGTATGTTTCGCCATTTAAAAAAAAAAAAAAAAGATTTTGTGTGAATTCCGAATGAATTTGAAATCCAAAAACTAATTAGTCTGAATTTTCTTAGGACAAGAATATGAATGCCACGTCTGCAGCGTGTTGTGATGATGATGACGAGGAAGATGAAGATGGAGAAGCAGCAGATATGGAAGGTATTCAATAATGAAGCAGTCATTTTATTTCTTCCGAGCAGCTTGTGGTGTTCCTCACATTCTTACATTCTGCTTTCTTGTCAGAATATGAGGAAAGTGGCCTGTTGGAAACAGATGAGGTAAGCTCAAAGCAGGGCAGCGTTTCACTTATTGTGTTACCTAACGTCAGTCATCATCATCAGTCCAACAAGCAGCTGACTCTTGTCTCGTGTCCCTAGGCGACTCTGGACACCAGTAAAATGGTAGAAACTAAAGCCAAAGCAGAACCTGGGAGTGAAGATGCCATCCTTCAGACTAGAACATATGACCTGTACATCACATATGATAAATACTACCAGACCCCTCGACTCTGGCTGTTTGGATATGATGAAGTATGTACCTGGGCAACATGCTGCTCTGTAAAGTGTTTATCTTGAGCCAATGGGAACATTTTACAGCACATTTGAGATTATATATAAAGTTACAGAGTGTCATATTCGTTTGCCGAAAGCTTCAGTAAGAAACATTCGGCATTTAGGATTGGGAGAGTTTCCAGAGTAAAGATAAAATGGGCTCATCAAGATGTGTCTTCCAGGACAAGCATCAGCTGACTGTAGAGCAGATGTACGAGGACATCAGCCAGGACCACGTGAAGAAGACGGTCACCATTGAGAACCACCCCCACCTTCCTCCACCTGCCATGTGCTCTGTCCACCCGTGCAGGTGAGAGAAACAAATGTGAAACCCCCCCTAACTTTCTTTCTTTAGATACACACACCCATATAAATTACTGAAGGTATTGTGCAAACGTAAAAGTGACCAATGGGTTTGTGTGTGTCGAGACCAATCACATCTACAGTGTTTCTATTCAAATCAATGCACACGACTCACCAAACCAGTTGGCAGCACATTACTGAGCGATTTGACTCCTGCATGCGTGAACACACAGCTACAGGAAGTCAGTGTATATTCAGGCTGCATGATATATTGTTTCAGCAACAACATTGTGACGTTACGATAAATTGAATGAAACTCTTCACCACAACCGCTTGATACAAAATGTAAACTCGTTCTTCTGTTGCAATCCACAACTCAACACTCTACAATGATTCATTCTTTGCAACCTTTTGCTGATGTGATTTCTCTTTCAGACATGCTGAAGTGATGAAAAAGATCATTGAGACTGTGGCGGAAGGAGGAGGAGAACTCGGAGTGCATATGTATCCTTTTATGATTATAACCCACACTGAGGTCTTACTCTGGTGAGAAGAGAGTTTGACTGTTTAAATATGGGAGGGGATAATAGTGTGTTACAGCATCATACTTTCCCTTCCTTAACTGAGACTTTCAGGTATCTTCTGATTTTCCTCAAGTTTGTGCAGGCTGTCATTCCCACAATAGAATACGATTACACAAGACACTTCACCATGTAGCTTCATCATCTGCAGATCAGATAAGAGGATCATCATCAGATTCATCTCTTTACGTTGAGCTATGGCATTAACAATAAAACTTTCTTCAAAGTCCGACCAATGTTATTTCCATCAGCAGCAGTTTGAGTCCTTTATTTACTTTTGTGTTTTCACTCGTCACAGAGCAGGCTAGCAGTTTCCCCCTAGTTTCCGGTCTTGATGCGATGCTAGGCTAACCACACCCTGGACATCTCTGTACTTTGCTCACAGAAGTGAAGCTGATATCCATCCTCTCATCTGACTGTGGGTAAATCTGCAGACGAGGTTACGTCTCAAAAAAGTTGGACGATACCTCTGATGTTTCTTTACAGGTTTGACTTTGTGACCACAATGTGGTGAGCTCTCGCTAAGCTCCTGTTAAGATGCTGTGTTCAAACTCTGTTTCAGACAAGAATTAAATCTGGCTCATCAAAGTGTCAGCCATCCCGACAGCTCAGAAAACAGACTATTCCAAGTGCATACAGTAAAATGTATCAGAAATTCAAACTGCCTCTGATTTTGCAGCAGAAAAAAGCTGTAAGCACAACATTGATGCTTTCTAAAGTTACCTGTCAACAATGTGGCAACCGCACAGCAACAGCATTCACTTTGTTTGTGACGCCTCATGAATGTAAGCCCAATATTCACTCTCCTTTTAGCTTCGGTTTAAACGAACTCCTGACAAAATAACTGTTTCTTTAGCTGCTAAATGCTGCACTGTGTTCACCAGCTTGTGTTTAACTGTGTCTGTCTGCTGTTTGCTGCTGAGCAGGTGGCGCTATTACAGCTTGTTCACTGCCTGCTGCAGTAAACACTGAGCTGAGAGTGAACCAGAACAGTGAGCGAGATGGGCCTGCACTGCACAACTACTTCATTGTACAACTACAAATAATATTCAGAAGAAAATGTGTCAAATCTGTGGGTTTGGAAAGCCGCATCAGTCGGCGCTTCTTGACTATTAATATTGTTCACATGCTTCACTGCAGTGGGTATTATTGCTTCCCTTCTAATGCACTTTGCAGGAGTCATTTCTGAACCTCATTCTAAATCAGCTTTTGATGCCATTTTGTCTTAATGCTGCAGAATCTGAATGTGTTGAGGCCCCTTCACTCACCCGTCGTACTTATGGTTGACTTGCAAGCTTTTTTGTGTGTTTCACTTCAACTTTGGACAGTTTCCCTTTTTTCCTGCAGCTTGTGTCAGAACCTTGAGAATTTCTTTCAGTCTTGCTTTTCCATGTGTAATGTAATGTGAAGGTTTGCTGCGACCTCCACTGTGCAGCATTTTCACGATTCTTTTGTCACAAACCTCTCGGTGTAACAATAAATCAGCAACAGATTTCTCAGCTACGTTGTTTACACAACTATGGATTATAAACTACATTTGGCTCTTCACAGTAACACGTTTCTGACAGTACTTAAACAGTCAAATAAAGCATCTGCTACAGTAATCTGCACTCTACTCTCCTTGTTGTCTGTTGGTTGGATTAAATATTCACTCTGTACCTGTGCCTGTTGGTCCAGTCTTCTGATGTAAATTGCTTGGTGGCAACACTTGACCATTTCAAAGTAATGTACATTTATCAATAAAGAGTTTCCCAAATATTACAAATAGAATGCTGTATTTGTTTATTTATGTTGCCAGGGAGGGGTACAATCAGTGATCTAAAATCCTTTAAGGTCCCTCTTAACTTTAGTATCTTCAAAATATTCAATATATTCTTCCAAAAATATGAATGAACTGTGTAATTTTTTTTTCCTTTTTAACATAGGGGATTTGTGGGATCATGTTATTTAAATAAAGCTGCATTTTAATGTAGTTTTATAGTCACTAGTCATTAAAATCATTTTATGTCTCATTTCAAAGTTATTCAAAAATAAACCATTTGCACCAAATAGTGTAAATACAACTAAATACTCTGCCCTCCTGATCACAGCTGAGAAGCCATGGATGACTCAGCAGTGACCAACAGTCGCATGACAAAAAAAAATTGAACTGCAGGCTGTGTTTGCACAAAGTACATAGGAGATAACAGGAAAACAAAGCATACTGAATAAATAAAATAAATGCAGAAAGCTAGTTGTTGGAAGATGCATGGTGAAATATCTTTATGTTGATTGTGTGAAGAAGTTTGTAGAGATTGTAAAAATTTAAGTAGTTAAATATGATGGGAAACCTATTTTTTTTCCCAGTATGAGTAACACTTGCACAAGTTGAATCTGGGTTTGTCAATTGTTATAAATAAAATAATGAAATTAATGGCATTGTAACTGTGTAATACCGAGTCCTCTCTCCTTCTTTATGGTTGTTCTATTTCCATAGCGGTGCAGAACTTTATACTGAAGTTAAAAATGATCCAACAGTGAGTACAAATGTGATAGAAGCTGTATTAAGTTTACCACAGCTGCTGCAGTTCCACATTCAGACCAGCGGGGGGCGGTGGTGCACCTGACCGTATCCACCACTATAAAACCGGCAGCACCAGAGAAGAAGATAGTGATTCCGTGTGTGGAGGTCATGCTGTGTACATCATGCCTATGGTTTTCCCCACTTCGCTGCTATGCGTGTACGGCTTCTTCTCCAACCTGCGGCCGTCGGAGCCCTTCCTCACCGCCTACCTGATGGGCCCCGACAAGAACCTGACGGAGACTCAGGTGAGTTAGCTCCAGTGCTAACGGCTAGCATGCTAACACTGACAGCCTGCGGCACCTTGCATCACCTGAACTTCAGTCGTAACACACGTTTGAATTTCAGCATTGTTTTTGTTAGCCTTGAGAAAATGTGTAGTTCTTTTTTCAGCGTGTTTGACTTAAAAAGAAAAAAAACCCAAAACATTACATATAATTAAATATTGGGGCAACGGAGACGTAAAGCAAACTTCTTAATCAAAATAAACAGAAGTCAAATGTTGACATTTTCTAAATTGTCAAATATTGTTCTCTGCCTGCAACAGGAAGCTGCTCTATACCAGCTGCTCATAAATGTGAAACCTGGCTGTCTACTGTGTCCCTTGTCAAAATAACGCCCATATCTGTTATTTCAATTTTGGATCATCAACTTCAGCTAATACATGTCACTAAAACTGATTGTAGTCCAGGTTATAACCATCTACTGCTGCTTTTATTTGGGTCGAACAGCCAAATTTTGTTCGCAAATTGTGCAGATAAGCATGAATTTATGTCTGTGGTGATACATTTTAATATTTCTTGTAGTTTACAGTGTAATCAGACATGGCATTTTTGTTTTTAGGCAGTGTTATAGTGTTATTCCTGATATTTAAACTGTGTGTGTTTGGTATGTTTAATATCCTTGTTCATATTTGGAGACGAGACTGCAATTAACATGATTTACACATAGGTTTTAAGTGTAAAATAATAACATGATCATATGTCAGTTTGAGGCAGATGGAAAACTGCGTATGAAAAGTATTTCAGCTGGTGAAAACAACTGGATGGGTTGTAATGTAGGATGCAGAGCTGGTAAAATAAACCAGATACACAAAGATAATTGCTCCCACGGGCAGCGATCAGTTCTTGGCAGAGGATCGCTTTTTGGCAGAACACTGGCTTGACATGTGTATTTGGGTTTGTGGCACTGCTAAGTTGTACTGCATTAGAGGTGTTGGGCTGCCGGACAGACAACATACCCAAATCCATATTGAACACTATATTTCTGTTCACGCTGTTCATGTTTTCAGAATTGTGTCCCAGTCACAGGACAGCTTCATAATATGAGGACTGTTTTCAGCAGCATAATCTTTCCTCAGAAAGAATAATCCCTCATGAAAAATGGCTGAATCCTTTCGGATTTCTTGTTAATCCTCAAATAATTACCTCCATCAAATTCTGAGCTGGCCTAGAAAAGCAAAGCAAAAAAAGCCATGAATGTGTTTTTGCACTAAATGCGTCACCACTGCAAAGTAAAGTTACACTTACTGTCCTCTATACATCCTTTGTCCCACGACAATCTGGAAATAAAGCAAATTAATGAGCAGATTTCTGACTATCACAACAAAAACTGATTTTAATTTAAACTGGTTTCAGGAAATGTGTAGTAGAGCTGACTAGGGCTGGGCAGGTAATCAAATAATAAATTAATTCATCCATATGGGCTGTTAGTCTACCTTTAATGCTGCTTTAACTCCTTTGTTCACATCCAAACACCCACAAAGGTTTTGTTCTAGGAGTGGCTGTGCTCCCTTCTAGCTAGCAGCTGACGGTTGTAACTGATGCAACGCAAATATGAGGAACAAAAAGATAACTGGTACAATGCAGGTATGTGTCAGTTGTGTTGTCACTCTCTGGAACAAAGCCATAAGAAAATACTACAAGAAAAAGTTGCTGCACCAGAGGGAAACGTCACCAATTCATTTTTACCATCTTCAACAAAACCATACCAGAGAATGTGTTGAGTCCAAGAAAACGGTAACAGGAGAACTACAACTCTACAGCCTTCAAATGGAAACTAAAATTTGAAGCGTTTGATGCATTTTACTTGTCTTACTGTTTTTTTTTTTTGTTGTTTTTCTTAACAAATGCACTTTGGCTCTGTAGACAGCACCATTGTTACTGGAGGAATTGAAAAACATCTTCTGTTTTCTGCAGGTTGTCAATGAAATCTATCCAATATGGACGTATTCCTACTTAGTGCTGCTGTTCCCCATTTTCCTGGTCACAGACTACCTCTGCTACAAGCCCGTGCTGGTGCTGCAGGCCACCAGCTTAGTTGTCACGTATGTTATGCTGTGGAAGGCGGAGGGCATGCTGGCCATGCAGCTCCTGGAGTTTTTCTTTGGACTGGCCACAGCTTCGGACGTGGCCTACTACTCGTACATCTACAGCGTGGTGGAGCCGGACCAGTACCAGAGAGTGACGGGTTACTGCCGCAGCATCACCCTGTTTGGATCAGCTGCCGGGTCTCTGGTCGGGCAGCTTCTGCTCTCTGTGGCCAAAGTTCAGCTGCTCCATCTTGTCATCATTACGCTGACATCAGCCGCCGTGGCCTTCTTCGCCCCCTGGTTCCTCCCGATGCCCAAGAGGAGTTTGTTCTTCCACAAGAGTCCAGGAGCAGCAGAGGACAAGCCACGCAGCAGAAGCAGCTCGCAGATGGAGAAGGCGGAGGATTCAGAGAGCAAAGTGCCTCTGAACTCCACAGTGAGTGACGAGCTGCTTTATTCAGGTAAAACCAAGGTTGTGAACAGTTTCATGTTAAAACGTGTAGCCATGTGTCTCTTTGCAGACATCCAGGCCCTCCGAGGCTGAGCGGCGCAGCAGCGGTTTGAAGGAAGTGTTGCGGGTGTTGTTTGAGGACTTTGTGCAGTGCTACAGGTGTCGTCCTCTGCTGGCCTGGTCGCTGTGGTGGGCTTTGGCCACTTGCGGCTACTTCCAGGTCGTGAACTATGCTCAGGCTCTGTGGGAGAATGTTCGTCCATCCAAGGAATATGAAATCTACAACGGCTACGTGGAGACGCTGTCCACGCTGCTCGGTGAGGCTGCTGTTGCATTTAACAATGATCCCGAGCACTAGGTTCAGTCAAGTGTGTCGCTGGATGGACTTAGCTGTAAAATGGAGCTCTGCTAGTCAACCTCCTCCATACATTGGACTCCATCACATAGTCAGAAGTTTGCTCAGCTGAGTTAAATATATTTAGTAAAACAGGAAAATGAGCAGCTTTTGTGACCGTGGTTGTGCTGATCCACAGGGGCTCTGGCTGCTCTGCTGGTGGGCTGCCTGTCGGTGTCCTGGGCTCTGTGGGGGGAGCTGGCTTTGTGTCTGCTCTCTCTGCTGATGGCTGTTTGTGTGTTTGTCATGGACACGTTGAACAACATCTGGCTGTGCTACAGCTCATATGTCCTCTTCAGAGCCACTTACATGCTGCTCATCACGGTGGCCACGTGAGTACAGAGTCCCTCGTTATTTACTAAATTATATTAATGAAGGACATTATCTTGATTGTGTCAAACACTGCGGTGGACGTGAACCTGAGTTTGAACACCAAGTATGATTCTGGAAAATTCAGAGGTTGCTAAAAATGTTTTTGGGTGGTAGACTTTCTTCAGGCACTCTTGATCTACTGTACATTGTTAGTTGTGCATTTCACTGACAACTAAGTAACAGGAAACTTGTGTAACTGTACTCCAGATTGCAGAAACCAGTGATTGTAACGTCTAAACCTTTAGAGCTGTTTGTTCAAACTGTTTGAAGTGAGTTACACAGTAAGAAGCACATTCATCTCCAGGCTCTTCAAGTGTGGGAACACTGCTGAATCCCCAACAATAAATACATGTGAGCTTAGATAAACAGCAGCGGTGGATCATGAGGGACTGCTGTGCTCTCCCTCACTGTTTTCTTTCTCTTCTTTTCTCTTGTTTCTTTTAAATCAGTGAAGCAGTGTTTTGACCAGCTTTTTTTTTTCTTTTTTTAAAAAAAACCTTTTTAACACATTTCTCCTGGTTACCAAGCATCCTTTGAGGATTCTTATTTCTTTGTGACTCCTCAGATTTCAGATTGCAACCAGTCTCAGCATGCAGCGATACGCCCTGGTGTTTGGAGTGAACACTTTCGTGGCTCTGCTGCTTCAGACTCTGCTCACTGTGGTGGTGGTGGACACAGCCGGCCTCGGCCTCGACGTCTACACTCAGGTGAGGAGCTACAACTTACAAATGTTCTCAGCAGACATGGAGGTAGCTGTACACTCCCATCTGCTTCAGCAATGTAGATTTGATTGGTCGTCTTGTTTCTTCCCCTCAGTTCCTCATCTATGGCACCTACTTTGCTGTCATTTCTGTGATCTTCCTCCTCGCTGGACTTTGCAAACTGGCCTCCAGGAGGCGCTCAGAGCAGGAGGCCCTGGCCAACGGCCGAGCAGAAGCAGAATCAGACTCTCCTCCGAGCAGTGATGCAGACTCTTGCAGATAGCACTTAATCACAGTGATTAGTTCTCGCATACGAACGCACCAAAGGTGGGTGAGCACACTTCATAAGGTGAGCTTCAGTCATCTCTTCAGCCATGTGGTGTCAGACTAGAATGTGACACAGCAGAAGGTAGAGGCTATAGCTGCTGTCTGTAGACTAACTGTAGGCTGCTCACTGTGTATTTGCCAACGCTTATTAATACACCTGCTGCTTAAAAACACAAGCTGCATAGATAAAACCTCCGCTGCAAGCTAAACAGCCTTGATGCATGATAACTTGCTGGGTTGGCAGCGCAGAGTGTATAAGTTTGCAGAAAATAGAGGCCTGTGGCTGCTGGCAACCTCTTTTGTAACAAGAACCAGCTACAATCATGAGAGCAGTGAGACTGAAATGTACCAAAAATACTTCCAGATAGGTAGTTTCTAAACACTGAATAGTTTTTGTAGTGATGTTACCTGTCTGTGGGTAAAAAATACTTCAATCAGCTTATGGTAGAGTGTATGCTAATGATTAATTAGTTACTGAATGGTAACGCTGCATACTTTTGGTTAAGAAAATTGTTTAAGCATGATAGCCCTAGCATGAATATTACAAAAGCAATATGGATGGTCCAATCAAGATCCTGAGAGATGCACTGTGCTAATTGACCCTGGTACGATTTAACAGGTGGTTGTCGGAGGTCATTAAACATCACAGAAGACTTTGTCATGGTGCACATTTTACTCGCCAAACCCTGACAACGCTCTATGAACTGTATTAGAGAGTCAGAGCCGTCAGCTCCATCAGCAGATACTAAATATAAAACGACTCTGATCGAATGTGGGCAAAAAAAATGCCCGTCAGTGCAGCTTTAAAAAAAAAAAACAACGCTTTGCTGGTCACAGTTAAAAGTCTTCAACATGCACTTTATAAATGCACGGAAATCCATTTCTGTCATTTCCCACCTTGTTGAAGCTGATGCCTTAGACCTGATGTAAACAAAGTTAAATAAACTTTAGCAATGGCTCCTTATTCCTCCACATTTGTCACCAGCCGAAAAGTGTTGAACATGTTTGTGTCATTAGTTCCTCGTGTAACTGCACAAAAACTGTCTACTGTACAATCGCTGACATAAACTGGTTGTATTTTTACTGATTAGCAGGGTCAGTATCAGGCTTATTAGTATCACTCATCTGAACCTGTGTGTTTATATCTGTACAAGCTGTTCATTACCGCTCAATGGTCCGTTACTGTGTTTAGAGAAAGTGCCTAAAATGGTCAAAAATGTATGGGGCTGCTTTGTTTTTTTTGTTTTGTTTTGTTTTTTAAAATGAAAATATGTTTCTTGTTAACAAATCCATCAAAATAACCAAAAGCATCAATGTGTTGGTTTAGTTTTCTGTACTTTTGTCTGTTGCTTTCAGCTCCAGGCTCACTGATCCCCACTGACGACGTAAATCTTTAAAAATGAAACTATATTTCTGAGTTTTTAAAGAAGTAATTTACTAAAACAGTTGTAGTTTGTGTCAAATTTTACTCAAAGAAAATAGTGCGCTGGTTGGAGACTTCTTGTTTGTTCATGACGGTGAGGAAACATGTCAGCCAGTGTGACTGAAGCTAGTGTGAGTTTTATACAACGGTACTTGTTAGTAGGATCAGTTTAGTGTCGGCTCAACTCTTGTTGACGAGAAAAAAATGTAGAATATCACCACATTTCTTTAAGTGTAAAAGTAACGACCAAACTATTGTCTTGCGTCAGTCAAATTCATTTAGAAGAAATCCAGACGGGGCCAAATATCCACCAGAAATTCCTGCAGTTCTTCTAAGATATAGTATGTTGCTGTAAATGTACCTGCCTAGAGTACTGTAATCTATAGATGTGTACAGACGGGGGACAAATTAAAGGAAAAGCCAACGTGAAAGCCAGAACAGCTTCAACACTCCTTGGCATTGATTGTCCAGGTGTCTGGATCTCTACTGGAGGGACTGAACAACAATCTTGCAAGTGGTTTTGGTGATGATGGTGGTGGGCAACTGGACCCAAACGATACCAGCAAAATACCCCCACAGCATAACGGAGACTCCTTTTCCTTTAATGTGTCACCCGTCTGTAGCTTGAGTAGGCAGCCAGGCGCTGTTCCAGTGTCTAGTTTTTAGTGATATCCAACACAGTGAATGTGTCACTCCATATCAATGGAAAGTACTGAAAACAGCTTTGTAAGTGTTGCTGTACTGGTAGTTTTTGTTTAGCGGTACAATCACCAAATGACACTGTTTGCCTTTTCAGAGGACGTAGTGATTGGAAGGGTGAGATTTCTGACAGAATAAAAGCTGCGTGAGTGTCAAGGTCTCTGCTGAGAGAGATTAGTCGTGACTGTTGTGTCTTGAGTCAGTTCAAGAGTAAATGATGTTTGCAAATGTGTTTTCCTATCAAGGACCAAATGTCCACGGTCACAGATTGAGCACATTTCACAACTGGTTTGAGACATTTATATGCACTTAATTCATTTTAAAATCAGTGTCATGAGATTAGCTCTCTGAACATCTGTCGGCAGCTTTGAAAGACATGTTAACTTTAAATTTAAAAAAATAAATCTACAATCTATCAGACAGAGAAACTGTTAAAAATGGAAACAACTGGATTTTCCATTTTGTAGAACTATGTGTGATGTGCAATTTTGTCTGGAAAATAACTCGGTCTAAACTTGAAATCATGACGGTCCATCAAAATCATCTTATTCTACATGTCTCATTTAAATATTCGCAAAAAACGGGAGCTAAAAACGCCCAGACGCTGCTTGGGGTTCAGAGGGTTAATGCACTCAAAGCCTAAAATACTGTATACTGTACACAGAATACTGAAATCAGTTGAAATTCAAAGTGAAAAAGCTTTTATTTAAGTTGCAAGAAACGCACATTTGTCACTACTTTTAAAACTCTGAGCTGATAAGTGAATGGATTTCAGACTTTTGGCCTTTACTGTGTGAAACTGTGCCTCTCCACTTTCTCCTCATGAAGGTTTCAGGTGTGTTTCCTACTTTTAACTGTGGCGACTGTCACAGTTCAGCAGATGATCGTTGACCCTCTGACATGTCAGTGGACTCCTACAGTCAACTGTGTCTTAGATTAGTGCGGATGTGTCCATTCCAGATTTTGGTGAAGGCGGTTGCGCTGCTGTCAGACGTGGTCAAACATGAAATACTGAGTGCATAGTTTACCTGCCGAGAGGTGTGTGTTGATGGTAGACGCACAGATTTGTTTAACGTTTGTGTTAATGTCCCCCACCCCACAAAATATACGCACACAAACATGAGGCACTTGAAAAAATGTCTATGCAAAAAGTGTCATTAAGAAATCTACTGTTTTGCCTGATAATGATGCATTTTGTGTCACATCTGTGGTTGTTTTTGTGATTTTATAATCATTCTGTGTATCTTGAAATAAACCTTTTTTTTAAATAACACTACTTATCCAGTTTTTCTTGACAGAATAAACAGTCTGATGTGTTAATACACTAACAGTTCCAGCTAAAATCGGAGTCTGCAGAAGCTGAGGCAGGTTGGAATGTGGTTTGTTTTTGTAGGTGTTGGACACAATAATGACTTCATATCAAGTGTCTAGCGATTGAATGTGGGAAACGAACTGCATTGTGTGTGAATTCACTCTTTGTACTTTTCATATAAAGTGAAAATGTAGTGTCCAGCGTGTACTCTAACAATCCTTGAATGCAGTGGGCCACAACAGCCGACAGTGATGACACTAGATGATGATGATTGTTATGAAATGTTTGAAACTATCCCACTGTTCACTCATTCACTTCAGAAAGTCCAGACTTCTCAAGTTTTATTCTCCAAATGTTGAGATATTTCAGTGCATACATGAGTGAGCACTTGAACCCATCATATAAAATAAAGTGTCTCAACCCTCTGGACCGCAGTACTTTCACTCTTCTGCCATGATTCTGACTGAGACCGACAGAAGTCATCAACATCATCTATTAAATGTAATATGCTGCCTGCATGCACCGTTCCAGCTCGACAAACAAGTTTCGCTACGGGAAATGAGTCCCACAGTGTCCGGAAATATCTGAAAGGTTTACACAAGAAGTCAGGAAATAAGTAAGGCCATAAATGCGCCTCGGTTTGGTTCTGAACCACCTGAATCACTCAGGGTTCTGCCTCCCAACAGCTTCTCAGAGGCATGATGTTCTCAATGAAACACAACCAGCCTAAAACAAACAGGCATCCTGGGCAATTTACACATTGTGTGGATTTTTGAAGCGAAAAGATGCAAATAAAACCTCTACTGACAATAAGTATTTTTTTTGTAGAGGAGTTTTCAGGCTGTTCTTCAGCATGTTTAGGAGTTTCAGGGATTTTCTCCTCCTGTTCCTTGAAGCAGCTCAGTGGATTCTGAGATCTTTGTCACTTCCACTGACTGCAGGACGTCTGGTTTTACAGATATTTAGTGAGCTCCATTCTTTCCTCTGTCAGATCCACTGGCTGCCACACAAAGCACAATCCTTCCTCCCTCTGAACAGTTGTCAGGGAGTTTGTTTTTGCTGCTCCTTTTATTCCTCCAAACATACCTTTGGTAACTGTAGCAAAGAGCTCAGTTTGAACTGTATCTGTCCACAGCACTTGTTTCCAAAACTCTCTGGCTTTTCCAGATGTTGATTTCTGTGACAAGATCATCAGTAGAAGTTCTTCTTTCCCCACATTTCTTGTCTTTCCCCTATCTGCTGATGACATTTAAGATGCTTCAGTCCTGCTTTGCTGCTCCAACAAGTCAATTAGTCTTTTAGAAAACTGTCATATGCTGCAACATGTCCAGAAACAGTGCAATAAGTAAACACCCACAGTCCTGAAAATTGATGCAAGCAGACAGAAATCACCTGTGTGGGTGAACACTGGTATGTGTGTGTGTTGATTTAAAGCTTTAATCTTCCTTCTACAGGACAATTGAAGTGTTTTCTGGTTTAGAAAATGTGGTTCAGGTTCCCACAACAGGCTTCATCTACACTGAAAACAACAAACAGCAGTAACGTCTTAAGAGTAAAGCTCCAGAATCTTTTTATATAGTCGTATCCAAATATATTTTGGGGGGGCATATTTGTAGGGCACGAAGGGAAACATGCAAGAAATAGGATACAAAATGATGCTTCCTTCACTAGATTTAGTCAGTGACAATTTGGCTCTGATATAAAGAAAAATGTAGTATGTGTATGAGCAGGATCACCTTGAGAATGCTGCCATCTATTGGCCTGAAGAGTGCACTCTGGGTGAGGTTGAAACGCTAAACATCTGTTTTCACAAATACTGACACAAGCAACCGAATGCTTCATTACCAGTGATCATTGTCCTGTAGTTTGTTCTTGATTTTTGCTCAGTGCCAACACTTTGCTCCTCATCAGAAAGTTTTAACCTGATTAAAAACAATCGCAGCTGAGGTCTAGTCGCAAATACTGCATCTTGTTGGAAACTTGAAGCAGATGGACTCATGTGAAGATGTCTGCGCTCAAATTCTGTACATTTTATTCTCTCACAGCCTTTGTGTGCATTAACTAGCGTGAATCCCGTCACAGTAAAGATTGAACAGTGTCAAACAGATATAAATGTCAGGCTTTTATTTTCACAAAAATTATCGAGTGACTGTGTTGCATGTTGACAGATGTGATACTCTGTAGTTGTGTTTATTTTAAAATTTTAGGTGATCCGTATGAAGCCCGACACCTGCGGGTAAATGTTGTTACTGTGGAGTAACAGATAATCACATCACATGAACAGTCCAGTTACGTCTTTCCACCTGCTGCTGAGGGAAATCCTCACGCAGACCTGAGTTCAGTTAAATCTTCAGCTTCCTCTAGCAGACTGGTCATGTGTCCGTCAGGCGGCACTGCGACTCTCAGGCGTCAGGTTGATCAGAGAGTTGCTGGCCTGAGCCAACTCTGTGATGGAGACTCGTCCTCTCTGTCTGATGAACTGAGCCACTGAGTCCAGCTCCTCTGGGGTGATGGAGATAAACTTCCCTCGGTCATCAATCACACCTGCAGCAAAGTACACCATGTTAGATGGTAAAAGATACGGTCGAGTCCATTCGTTTTTGGAAAGTGGTGCAGTTTGTAATTTTGCCAGTGCTCCCCAACACCTTTTGCACTCATGCAGCTCCATGACATCACATCCATCTGAGCTAAACAAAGAATGAGCTTCCAGGACACATCAGCTTCTTCTCGTGTGATTTAGCAAAGTTCAGTTGTGCAGTTTTGTACTAAAGAGCAAGCCAAGGTGTTTTTCTTGGGTGCCGTCTACAGAGGCTGTCATTATGACTTTGATGCAATTTTAAATCATTTGACATTTCTGTTGTGTACTGTCTATAACAAAGAGGAGCAGCAAACGCTCTCAATTACAAAGTTAGAACTTGATAAGACTGGCATTTTTAACTGTTTGAATATTGACATTTTTCAAAGATTGTAAAAACATGTTTCAAGTCTAACATGCTGCTTTTAATGACTGGATACAGCATCATGTCTGGCCTCTATTGCTTCACTATTTCCTGTGCAAACTATGCAGGAAAACCACAGCTGTCATTCTGCTGCTTCACAGGTATCAGAGACGATGCCACTACAGGACAGAATTCCTTTTTTATAGGCCTTTAGGAGCTTAGACACAAGAACATTTCTATCTTTCATCTGAGCAGCTTCATCAGTAGCAGCCACTAACCTGTGAGGGAACCTTCAGCTAACAGGTCCTGCAGTCTGGCGATAGCATCCTGTGTCCTCATTCCAAAGTGAGAAGCCAAATCCTCCAGAAGAACCACCTTAGAGCACTACAGGACAGAAGTGACTGTTAATACACTGTGTTCAGATACTGGACTACAGGCTGAGGTGTGTACAGTCTGTCAGTCTCACCTCGATGTACTGGATGAATTCTTGCAGCAGGCTGCGTGACTGAAACAAAAAAACACAAAGTATGTTTTCTTTTTAATTTAATATGACATAAGATGCAGGAAAGTAGATGTTAATACAACAGTGATCTGACCTGGTCCTCAGAGAGCTGCTCCTCTTCTCCCTGGTCCTCTATGACAAAGGACGCTTTGAGTTTTAAGTACTCCTCTTCATCTCGTCTCTCCTGCTCCTCTTTAGCTCGGCGCTCCTCCTCCTCCTGAATAAACAGCAGCACAGAATGTCAGCACCTCCTCGTACGAACACACGCTGAGGAAAGTCTGCTGAACGAACTGAATGTTGCACCTGTCTCTGCTCCAGCAGTCGCTCCTTCTCCTCCTCCTGCCGTCGCTCCTGTTCTCTCAGCTCTTGCATCCTCTTTCTCTCCTCCCTCTCTTCCATCTCCGCCTGAAATAAAAAACAAAACAGGAAAAGACAGCATAATGTACAGTTTCTTCCCAACTCTGTCTCACTGTCATACACTTGACCACACAGTGTAAAAGAGAGCAGCTCAGAGTTTGTGTGCAGTGTGTCTGCCTCACCTCTCTCTGGGCTTTCTTGGCCTGTTTCTCCTCCAACTTCTTCTGCTTCTTGGCTCCAACCTTCGGCAGGAAGTTCGGCTGCTCTGCCTCTCCCCCCCCCTCTTCTTCCTCTACATGTTCCTCCTCTGAAATCAAAAGCACGTTAATTACACATTCTTTGACATTACATATGGCATACTTTTATCTTAACACTGCATCTATTGAGATGGGAACAGTCCAGTTTTTTCCTACTGAAGAAATTTTTTTTTAAATGACATGATTTTTTAATAAACAAACATGTTCCCTTCCACCTGGACTATGATTTGTAGAGCACTTCTGTAGCACCACAAGGCTTAAAGCTCATTACAAAACATTTAATATAAGGTTTAAGTGTGAAAGTTAAAATAGAGAGGCACTTAGAGAGCTATTTTGCAGTTTCAAAGCAATCCAAATTCACACTAAAATTTGAAGAATTCTTTTTTTTGCCCTGATTCCACTGCTCAGCAAAGTTTCTTGAAATGCAGACTGGTAGTTTTTGTGTGTTCTTGTTGACAATCAGACAAACAAACTGCACTGAAAACATAACTTTGCCTCAGCAGAGGACTAATACCATTACCTCCCACACAGCCTGCTATTGGCATCAACGCCCTCACACACTTTAACTTGTTCTATGGCACTTATCTAGGTTGTTTTTTTTCCTGACTAGATCCTTACTTGTGTTGTATCAGCTCTCAGATGTACGTTGCTTTGGATAAAAGTGTCTGCTAAATGAAAGTGTAGGATTGTAATAAATGCTGGTGTCTACCGGGTTCTACAGGTGCTTCTCTCTGTGGTCGTCTGTTAGCCATCGCGGTGGCGAGGTTCCTCCTCCTGCGAGGCATACCGGCTCCCCGGTCCTCTGCAGCCCGCTGAGGGGGCCCCGCTGCCCGGACAACATCCCTCCGCTGCTCCACATCAGCTAAACACAAAACATATCATACTAATAACCATACAGCACATATAAAATATGTCAAGAATGCAAAGACCACACACTGAAAACGAAAAACGGTAATTTTATCAGTCAGCAACCTGAGTTTGGGCACTCATGTCGTTGACTGACTTGTGTATCCATGTCCTTAATTCAACAAGATTCACTTCTATCCTTTAATATAGTACAATTCCAAGTAGAAAAAAAAAACATGTTATTGTTTTATGGAATAGCTTGTGGTTATACTATGGTCAGCAAGGATTCTATGGCTAACTGGCATGCATTATATGCATAAAATAGTCCCAAAAAATGTGGCATTTTTAGCAAGTTCTATTAATTCAATAAATATTTTGTGTGTTTGCTCGCTGTGTGGGACCATGGTATAAGTAAGGATTAAACAACGAGGGGCGGTGCATTATACTTACTTAAGCCTCCTCATCTAAAGTCATTTCATTCTTAGCTTTTCTGACTCCTGATCAGATATGCAACCACAGAATATGTCCAGTATATGTGTCCAAAGTGCTTCTGTAAAAGGCAACTGGAGCTCTCTTCGTGTCCAGTTGCTTTCTGCTGAAGCACCTGGTTATCATGACGTGGATGAACTACACAGACTAGACCAGGGGTGGGCAATCCTGGTCCTTGAGGGCCACAATCCTGCATGTTTTAGATGCTTCCCTCCTCCAACACACCTGATTCAAATGATCAGGATCGTTATCAGGCTTCTGCAGAGCTTGATGATGAGCTGATCATTTGAATCGGGTGTGTTGAAAGAGGGAAACATCTAAAACATGCAGGATTGTGGCCCTCGAGGACCAGGATTGCCCACCCCTGGACTAGACTATTTAGATATACTTCTCATTGGAATGTCCCACTGCAGCCTCCGTAGTTACTGACAGTTTGACAGCTGTGAGCTGACGTTGCCTAAAATTGCACTGAACTATTCAATGCAATTTCAGCAAGTTCAGCTAAACAGTTGACAGCTTTTTATCACCAGTATAGCCTTTTATCTCCAAAATATTTGTTCAGATAACACAGAATGCCTAAAAACGTAATACACTATCGCTACAAACCTTATGTCAAAGCTACAGCTGTTGTGCTAACAGCTAACATTAGCTTACCCTTGTCTACAATTAGTTTCACGGCTTCTCACCTTCCTCAGTTTTCCTCCGGACCTTCACCGCAAACACGAGGAGGACAATGAGGATAGCAGCCGCTATCAGATACAAAGCAATATCCATAGCCGTTCTGTAAGGTATTTCACTAAATTAAATTACTCTCCACGTCTATTTCACTCTACAGCTCATTGCTAAGGCCAGTATATCGCCACAGCTTCTTCTTCTTCTTTGTGTTTATCGGCGGAGCATAATAAAAGCTGCACACCGCCACCTGCTGGACCGGATGTTTTAGTTACTTCTGGGAAATCGTGTTAAAATAGGATTATTTTAACACATCAATGCAGCAAATCCTACACTAAATACGTTTAATTACTGGGTATATTCTTAACCTACTATTTTGTGTGTTTATAAGCAGGTTGCAAGTTTACAGGTGCTCACCGCCACCTCTCCTACATCTCCTATTTTTTATTTTTTGAGGCTTGCAAGATGCAATCTGAGTTGTTTTCATATGCAGAAATGGATGCAAAATATATCTAAAATGTATTAGTTCTACATTTTAAATCAATAAAAGAAATGCTTCAGTGACCCTAAACTGTTTTTGTTTTTGTAAATCTGCAGTATAAAATACTAAAAGTTAGAAACTATGATCCTTGAAACAAATACACCTGTGATTTCCGAATAAGCACTCAAGCGTTTTTAAAGAAGAACTTGAAAACGATGAAGTGGCCAAGTATGTTGTCTGACTTGACTCCAATTGTGGTATTTTAAAGACAAAGGCAGGGCAACACAACCCCTCCAGCAAAGAGCAGCGGAAAAATGTGTCTGAAGAATGACAGAACAGCTCTCCAGAAATTTAGTGTCCGTCATGCCCAGGAGATTGACATGTAGAGTATTAAAGATATATAATCTCATTAATGAATGCTTTGATGCACCGACTTCCTTCTGTGGAGCCTGTATTTTTAATATAGTAAATCTAAACTGTTAATTTTTACTTTAACATAAGAGAAAATACCCACAGTTCAACCTAGAAGTAATTAAAATATTATAAGGTGATACAATTTAGAGTCATTTGATGTGAAAGTGATATTGCGCTCTGCTGCACTCATGCCTGCTGTCTACTCTAACATCTTGGCAAGTGATACAGATTGTCCAGGTTCCAGGTAACATGCAGTGCAGTTTGTTACTCACTAGGTGGCAGAGGAGACATGCTGCGGACATCACTTCAGCTATGCACACACACACACACACACACACACATACACACACAGAGCGATTCATCGTGTGTATGTGTGAACGGCCTGTAAGGAACATCCTGTCCTTTTCGTCCACAAACACACACACACAGGCCTTGTTCGGTCTATCAAATCAGGAGGACAGTCACATCCCCGGCACTAGACTCTGCGTAATGAATCACATCTGAAGCATCATCGTCTGCTTTGTAGTAATTATACCACATCATTATACTAAACATTAATGCAAAATGGCAGCAGATGAAAACATACCTTCCTCCAGTCGAGCTCAGGAGCTGACTTGGAGATTTTGGGCTCAAGCGAAAGCGAGCCTGGGGCCCCCTGAATTCAAACCTCTAAGCCTTTTCAATCCTTCCTGTACATACTGAATCCAGATCCTGGCTTCAGAGCTCGGCATAAGTGGACACGCAGCATTAATGCTAAGTGACGGCATAGATTAACCAGATTAGCCTCCTGCTAGGCCCCTATGAATTCCACCAGGCCTGTTTTTTTGGTGAAATATTGCATGTGACTCGTAGGTATTTAAACATGACTAACGGCCCCAGCTACACTCAGATTTTGTATAAGAAGCCACTAGTCTTAAAGGGCTCCTTGCTGGTAGTCCAGTGTTTGGTGCAGGAAGCTGTCATGACTCAGCAATAAGTTTTTGTGGAACAGTCTTTCAGCAGTGATGGACAACAACTACATGGTTTTTAAATCTCTGGCAGCTGAAATGACAAGTGCTGATGTACATAAAGGACTTTAAAACTAGAGTTCAATAATTGGATTTGAGGTAAAGGGACATTTCACGGACATATATGACAGTACATCAATCATGAATATGTAGTGTTCATAAATATATATTGTACTATATATGTAGCGTACAACAATATATACTATGTGCAAATATATTATAACATACGGTATATAATACAGTATAATATATACTATATTTTGTGTGAAAATGATCCTAATCCTGACGTTATCAGAGTAATAAAATTCTGAAATTAGCTCAGCTTCACATTTAAAACATGGAGCGTGTGTTTAAAAGACACAAAACAATCTAACAAAACGATGCTACTGAATTGCATGATGGAAAGTGTTGGATTACATCACTTGTACTGAGTATAGAGTCACGATATCGTGATCACTGCAGCAGGTTTTTTTTCGCCCCTCTTTCATCTGTACGTTTAAAAGTGCAGCACTGAATCACCGAAATGCTTCATGGCAGAGCTCTCTACAGACACACTCTTCATGTATTTGATTAGAAAAGGTCTGCTGGCACACGGCGTGACTGCCTGAACGTGCTCTGAGTGTAACAGTGGAATGAGTGCATCATGAAGCATCATATCTAAACATAGTGCAGTGAACTCATTCTCCTCTCATACAGCAGGAGGTGAAAGAATGTCCCAGTCAGCAGTTTTTTTCACTCTGAGAACAGCAGCAGAACATAAGAACAGGGGAGAAGAGAGCAAATGAAAGTGGGGCTAATCGCCTAATCCCTACTGCCACAGAAGGATGTGAGGCTCTGCTGGGTGTGACGGTACTTTTCCGTCACCAGTGACATCTGGAGGACACATCCTTCTTCTGAAGCACCTACTGCAATCTGATACTGCCTCTCTCCTTCCCTGTAGGTGTGTGGATGTTCTGTCGTGGACATGGAAATCTATTGTTGTTACTAATAACACTATTCATGCTGGTAACGAGACCTGTGTGTGTGTGTGTGTGTGTGTGGCTGCAGGATCTTCACTCCAGTGATTACAATGACAGCGGAGTGTGTTGTCAGACTTCATGCATGAGCAGATGTATCAGTCTGATGAGAATTTCATTTAATTTCCCTTTTGGGTCTTTAACAATGTGTGTTCCAGCTGCAAATCTATGCTGGTGTCTTACAGATGGTCGTATTTGGCCAGAGAGCTAATTCTCATTATAATGCGCCAGTCTGATGCTATCTTGGGGTATGTAAAGAATGTATGCATGGCTGAGACGGTCTAAAGTTGAAGGTGAGCACTCGAAGGACACTTCACTTGCCGCAGTCCTTATTTCCTGGTTCACTGCTCAGGTGATCTATAGGGGCGGGGATTACTGCAGCTCCACTCCCCGTAAGGCCTGGCAGAGACAAACTGCAATATACAACAGAGGAAGCAGATGCAGGAGCATGACTGATGTCTCCTGTTTCCACAGCATGTCAAACCTCCAGAGGTCAGTGTGGCCTCGGTGCTGCTCGAAAAGAGCTGAGCCACAACCGGTCGAGCCAGTCAGCAGGTGTAGTAGTGTGGATGTAGTGATGCAGAGACGAAGGAAGCTGTAGTAAGAAGGGGGCTGGACACAGAGTCAGGAAGAGGAAGAGCTGCAATGTTCTGCAGGGACAAGGTGACTCCTCTGAACAAAATCACACACTCACGTGCAGAGTTTGTATCACACGTTACCGCAATATTTAACCATCTCCTAGCAACACAAAATATAAAATCAACAGAAGTAGCAAGACATTTAAATCTTCCAACTATGTATAATCATTATATTATAGAACAGATACAGTCAGTACAGTCTTAACTATACCACAACATATCATTCTGAACTTGGGCCTTCAAAGATAAGTCTGCTGACATTCTCATCTTATTGTCAGTAAATTCCACTTTTAGATTACAGCGCTGGTTGTATCCGACCCCAAGCATTGTGTGTGTGTCAGAGGCTGATATATGTTATTCCTCTGTGCGTTAAAGCGCCATTGTTGTCCAGAAACACATTACAGAGCCACATTATTGTACTGGTGACATGTTCCCTTATTACCACAAACATTGTTGTAAATATGTGCTCTAACACCAAATGTTGATGACTCTGCCACTGAAAATAGTTTTTGTTTGAGTATAAAAACCACAGTTGTGCAGGTAGAACCAGTGGGTTTGGAGCTGAGAGCCACAGACGGAGAAGGAAAGTTAGAAAGTACTGGGATATCGTCAGTTTCGTCCTCTGAGGTGAGGGCATGGTTAGCCTAGCTTAGCATTAAGAGTAGATAGTCCAACTCTGTCTCCCAAAAACTACGTTCCTACCCAATCACAGTGCGTTTTCCTTTATGTTTTGAAGGAAATGTATTTCTTCTGAGTCTGACGTAGTAGGTAAGGCTTCCACCTTGATTTTACTCCCTTGTGGATGTGCATATGGAGTCTGTTTGGAACACTCCTTCTATACATGCACCGTAGGTTGTATCTGCATACATTCTAATACATGCGCACTATTTCCCTTGTAGTGTGGCAAACACGTGAACACAATTTTTTTTTTAAGGTATTTTTTTTGGGCTTTCGTGCCTTTATTAGATAGTAAATAGTGAAAAGAGAGACAGGAAAGTGGAGGAGAAGAATGGGGGAAGGACCTGCAGCAAAGTGTCATGAGCCAGATTCGAACTCACTACCACTGCATCAGAGACTTTAGCCCCTGTACACGGGACACGAGCTCAACCAGGTGAGCTATCGCTTCGCCCCGTGAGCACAAACTTTAGGCTGCATGTGGATGTAGGGGTCTAGATGGATTCTCAGGGAGATTTAAGCGAGAATCGAAGTCACACGGACCCTCACAGTCACTTTAAGCACAACACTGGCTTCAGGTTGATGTGACATGCTTCCATTTCCTCTCTTTGAACCATAAGACTGATAATTTCCCAATACTTTCCCTACTGTGTGATAAAAATGTAGGTTTTGCAGACACTACAGGACTCTTGTGGCCTCGCAGTCTCAGCCCAGTGTTACACTTTCAGCATCCGGGTAAATTTTAAAGTCCACAAGAGTCCTTCAGCTGATGTCCAAAATCTCTGTAACTACATATATACGACCGACTGCACATGTGTGCAAGTGGACCGCGTGGGCTAAAACTGTAGTTTAATACCAACAGCTATGTATCTGGGGGGAGTATAATCAAGCCTAATGTCTACAGCACAACTTTCACCTAGAAAACCAGGCTTCATGTCTCTTGTGGGGC